AAAATTTTAAAAATTTAACAGGACTGGTTCAACTAGTTTTTCTATTGGTTCCATTGGTTTTGACTGGTTCAAGACCAATTTTGCTGATTCTTGACTAGTTCTTAAATTGATTAATTTTCTCCTATAATTGGACTAAGTTTATGATCGATTTCCTATTCAACTGATTAAACCAGCCGGTCCAATCTGGTCCTCATAGCAGTGGATTCAATTAATGTTATTAAAATTAAATTAGTCATTGAACCGATCAAAATATTGGTTCACGGTTCAAAGATCAAATCAAGGTTAGAGTAGGGTCAGCCATTTGTAATTAGTTTAATATATTTTAAATATTATGTACTAAAAAAATATAGTTCTTTTTTGTAAAAAAAGGCAATAGTACTAAAAAAAATTATTAATAAACTCAAGGAAAGTTATTACTAATAAAGTAATAATCCTCCACATACTTCAAATTTCAAAGTTATAAAAACACAATTTATTAAAATTCAAACACATAATCCAAGTATAACAACATATCCAAGTACACACTAACACCAATAGTCTAATATAATAACGAAGGAAATCATAAATATGATAATCTCATACTGTCATACACGCACAAGAGTCAGCAAAGCATTCCATGGTTAGCACCCAATGCATTTGTGAACTACAAGCGTGAAGTATCAATATTCAAGTTGAATATGAAGGATTGAAGGTCGTGGTTTGGAGCTCTGACCTGTTAATCAAAAGAAGAGGAGGAGACGCACTTGACAAGGGATGAGGAAAGATATATAGAGTTGTGACTTGCAACAGTGAGGAAGACAGAGACGGACCTGCTCGCGACTTGTGATGAACTGGAGTAACAGAGCATGATTAACAAAGCACGAGGCCATAGAAGAGGAACAAGTGTGATGAGGGAGGGTGGAAGTGGAAGACTATTGAAGAAGAGGAGACTAGAGGTGGAGAGAGCTTCCGCCACAAGAGGCTTAGGTCTAGGGTTTGATTTGTTTGCTTTGCGTGACTCTGAGCCGAAAAAGTAAAAAAAAAAAAAAAAACCTTCATATTGTGAAATGGGGAGAAGCATAATAATAATAATAATAATAATAATAATAATAATAATAATAATAATAATAAAATAAATAAATAAATAAAAGGGAATCTTCTAGATCATCTAAACTATCAATTCTCCTCTCCCTGACTAACAATTTGGTTGGTTCCCAATTAAATTGGTAGAATTGGCCAATCTAGTTCTAATACTATTGGATTCAATTATGCAAGGCCTTGTAAAGATTACTTAGAACTCTTTAGTATATATCTATCTCAGCATAAATTAGATCAATTTTAATCTTAAGTTACTTAATAAATATTTTAATTGCAATTTCTTTCTTTCAAAGGCGAATTCTAAAACACAAACACATACTAGAATTATTTATCCAATAGCATGAGAATAATAACTTGTACTAAAATATTCATTAAACATCAACAACCAAAGAAAAATCTAGCTACATCGCATAAAGGTTCATAGATTCAAAATGAGATCTCTTAAGGATTAAGAGCCAAGCTCATATGGGTTAGGCCCATTCATTTCCCAACTTTAGTTCAGATTGCTTTGGATTTAAATTTTTAAGATTCAAAATGTATCAAATACAAGTTTAAAATTTAAATAACCCTTAAATCTATAGTTTATGGTCCATGTTATCATTTAATCATTTTTCTTTTTGGTGAGAAGCAATTCAAATTTTAAAATTTTGAATTTGTCTCAATTATTAATTTAATCTATTAAATTTAATTCTTATTAATTTAGTTCCTTACATTTTTTTAATTATCACATTAGTTTTTTAAATTTTTAAATGAAGATCGACACTCAAATTAATATAATATATAAGGCATGTTAATGACTTGACAATTGACATGTATAATGGCTAAATGAAAATAAATTGATTTTCAAATTAGTTTAACTTTTATTAATCTAATTCCTTAAGTAGTATTTTTTTTCTTTACTTCTTTTTAAGTTTTCAAGTTTGTTTTCTTTTTCTTTTTTCTAATTAAATAATTAATTGCATTTCTTTTCACTAGTTTACTTAATTGTCAACTAAATATTCAAGTATCCATATCAGTAAATTTTAACAGTGTTTCCCTTTCCAAACAATAAGGGATCAAATCAATAACTAAAGCAAACTTACATAACTAAGTTAATAAAAATTAAACTTGAATGATCAAATTAATAATGAATATAAATTTAAAGGATACTACAAATTTTATCATCACAAAATTTAAATGTTGAGCTCCTACATATACTTTATAATACCCATACCACCTGAATTAAGTTTATATGGTTAGTTTTTGTGTATTTGTTGCCCATACGCATACTCTAATTCAATTTTATCTCATGCAGGATTTGTTGTACTTTTTATGCAATCATATTTTACTTTGTGCATATATTTCTTGCTTGAAATATAACTATATGAAAAAGTAGGGAATAGACATGCAGAAGATTGAGGTGCTGCCAACTAGGGGATGAAAACTAGAAGCTTTGCGAAAACAGGCATGTTGAACTGGAGATTTGCTGCTCTGCCTACAACTAAAGAATGATTGGAAAATATGAAATTGGCCAGAAGTTGGGACGCACCCAAGCAACTCAAGGCTGCAATCACTAATCAATATATTATGAAGGGCTTAATGGGGCATGTGACACAGCCTTTCCATTCCATCTGATCTCACCTTCCTGCCAAATTAACATATAAATGAATGTACAACAGAGAACTATATATATATATATATATATATAAGGGTAATTCAAAAACACAGCAACCTGCCTTATTCATGAGGAGCTCAACCACAATACATATGACGAAGGAAATGAAACAAAATATAGGAAAGTCGCATGTGGTCGGAAGATTTTCCGTCACAGTGGTGGTGGGATGGCTGTTGCTTCTGCGGACGAGAAACTTGAGGGCAAAATGATGAACATGACGAGTTGGTCATCATCTTAGCCTTTTCCTTTGGTTAGAGATCTCCATCTTATTTCGGACTTTAATTATATTGCCTTCTAATTAAAGAGTCTTTCATTTCATTGGCTTTAAGCATATATTAGTTCAGAAGTGAAGGTGTTAGACGGTTTTAGAAATATATATTTCAATTGAAGCTGGTCAACTTCGGAGTTCATTGATGCTTCTCAGAACGCAGGGACATCCAATTTTGCTCATTATAATAATATATTATTTTTTTGAGTTGAGTACTGTGGATGTATAGTTATAAGATTAATGATGACTGAGTTAAGATACCTAGACCCGAGTGATTTTTTATGTATGCATTTCATGCTTAATTAAGTAGATACTTTGCCCACTTTCTCCACCTATCTTCAATAGTAATAATAAATCTTCCAATTTGTTCATTAAAAAAAATCGTCAATAACGATATAATTGATTTAAATGGTTCAGAGTATCCTGTGCTTTTAAGTAGAGCCTCGAATTCAAGTCAATGATTTTGGAAAATATTTCTAGAGCTTAATATTGCATAATTGAGAATAGCAAACAACAAAAAAATCATCTATCATATAATAAAAATTTATTAAACTAATATGGGAGGTGCACGTTTATGTGTTTTTCTTTATTTTATAAACATTTGTCTCACAAACTTTTAAATTATGTGTCAAATTTTTATCATCTAGATTAATCTTTATTTTTTGTTCATGTGTTTTTTTTTCTTTTCTTTTTTTTTTTTTGGTTGTTGTCAGGGCATGTTCATGTAATGGAGAATTACATAAGAAATAAAACTCAAGCTTTGCATTCTTTCTCTCCAAATAGGCTTGAATGAACCGTTAGTGATTCAAGCCAATCTTAATAGGCCATCCAAATAAGATATAAAAAATATTAACGCTGGGTTTGATAAAATAATATATTTTAAATGTTCAAGCTCATTCAAATATGTTCAAAAAAATTTGAACCAAATTCAATCATATTCAAGTTTGGGTTGGATATAGGCAAGATATTTAAATTTTTTAAAAATATTTAAAACATGTTAAATATTAATTAATCATTTCAATCTTACTGCCATGTATTACAATACATTATTACATTATTATTTTTAATCTATAAATATTTTACAATAATATTTAAAATGTATTTTAATATTGATTTTAAAACTTTGAAACTCACAATTTTTTTAAAAAAATATTAGCTCTCTGCATTTTTTATTATGTATCCCAAAAAGTATATTTTATGTTTTTTGATAGTCATAAACATAAATAATTTCAAAATAAAAGTTGAAAATTGTTAAAAAAAATTGACAACTCACGCATTCAGGATAACTTTTAAGATCTGAAAGCCCAAAAATTTAAAGGATTAGGGTCATACTTAATTACATGAGTTTAGGCTGTCCGAATAAACCTAGCTCGTTTAAATTATTCGCTTTAGTTGAGGATATTCACCTTCAGGCTGAGAGCAAATGGTTTCTTTCCCATTCCTTTTTTTCAGAAGAATATCAAGTAAAACTGAAAAAAAGTAATTGGCTTTATCCCACTACCCTTGAATTTTTTTTTTTTTTTGTGGCCAACACTATCCCTGAATTGATGACTTTGAATTATTCGATCCGCTCCGGTTTTATTCCATATCTGATTTTTCTATGTTTATCTTTAGTTAATTTCATATATATATATATATATATATATATATATATATATATAATTAAAAATATAAAAAAGTACAATATTTTTTCATGAAAGTGAGAGAAAATTTACTCTTATAATAATGAAGAATATTTTAATAAAAAATAAACTTTGATTCAGGGAACGTTGGCTGGGTTAGGCGCTTTTTTCTACGTTTGTCTTCACAAGGGTGATAAATCCGTAACGTTGATTCAGTGATTCACTCAGCCAACGGTCTTGGCGCGTAGAAAAAAAGCGGTCTTGGCGCCTCACTCAGCCAACGGTCACTGAATCACCAGCCGTTGAGAATGAACAATCAATCGTTATAAGATCAAGAAGAGGGCATAACGCGGCGTCCATTACCCCTGGATGGTTATCACACAGTCTCTTGCGAAAGTTAGAGAGCAAGTGGGAGACACAACAAACTGATTTCTGGTAGAAACGATGAATGGCCATAATAGCCTTCTTCCTGACGGCTGCTGTGGAATGACTCAACATCTCGATCACCTGCGGCACCACAGCTGGGATAGCTTCTTCATTGATCAATTTACAAGCAGCATTAAGGGCAGCACAGACGACCAAATAATTGTCAGACTTGAGGTTCTTCTGGATTGTATTGACGTTCATTCTTACAAACCAGGCTATTAAGAATATAATCACCACCAAGGATTTTCGTCGAGCAGGGGTTAGGTGTGGTTCGCTTCGGATTTTCGCTATTGAATATCCAGGTCTGGGGGCATCGATCAGATTCAGAGCTCAATTTACCTTATCATTTCTATTTCGTGCCCAAAAGCTCTCAGAGTCTCTGGCATGTGTGCTTGTGATTGCCTAGTTTGTTCTTGTGAATCCTGTTTGGAGATTTTACCATGCATCTTGCAGCGTTTGGACGTCACATATTACATATATATTATAGTTATGTGCCCAGAGCGACACTCATAATCTCAAATACTTGGGGCAACGATGCTCTTGGTCGGCTAATAAAATCAAGTCCGCAAATTGCAGAACAACACCAACTGGCTGTCATTGACTGCTTAGAGGTGAGGATATTCTTAATCGCCCTTCTGTTGTTAAGCTGAACATTTTAAGCATTCTCTTTGGTACTGTAATCATTTTGTTACCGTCCTTTGGATTATCATGTTTGTTTCTTCTGAAGTCATGTTGAATCTGCTAAGAATACAATGTTGGATGTGGCTGAGTTTGTATTATGCTTCTCCATCTTTCGATTCGTGCAGTTGCCTCTAGATAATTTCTTACGGTCATGGTACTCTGCAATTCTAATTCAATTTCAATTTGTGCTGCAGAACCCTGATGATACTCTGAAGCGAAAAACATTTGAACTGTTATAAAAAATGACAAAGTCCTCCAATGTGTAAGTTATTGTCGAACGCATGATTGATTGCATGATTAGCACCAGTGATGCTCATTTACATAGCAATACGATTTGCGGAGCTTGCTGAGCAGTTTGCTCCAAGTTATCATAAGGATTAGTGCATATAGGTTCCTCATTCTGCAATTTTCCATTTTCATACAGCTTCAACGATAACTAACGATGGCTACTGATTGCGAGCCATGAATAGGGTTTTTGATCATGCTGGAGATCTTGTGAATGATTATCAAGGTGGCACATAATTTAATGCGATTGATTGCAAAAGGTTTTGGAGAAGATGTTGCTGCTGCAGATAGTCAACGGAGATCATCAGCTATATTGCAAAAGCTTTTGGATTATTGCACTGTTTTTTTCAAAATATTTACTACAAAGATGCATGTCGCCATAAGTTATTTATGGGAGCTTCTTTCTGAAGTGGAGGTTGAGTCATATTTGCGTGCCATTGGGGAGCCGAAGCTTCCATCTATGTTTCTTTAAGTACTTACTATCTTACTTAGGTTTTTGCATTTCTGTACTTGTTATATTTTGCAAAGAAATTAGACTTGTTCCATGGCATAATCTTAAATACTGATTGCAAGTCATTTGTTGGGTTCTGAGTGATTATGGCACAGCTGCTGGACAGTGTTCTGCTTCCTATATCGCTGCAAAGTTATGTGACATGGCAGAGGCATTTCTAATAATGAAAGTAATTCCTTATTAAGATGTTTTTCTCAAGAAAAATAATCAATGAGACCTCAATTGTCCTTGGATGGTTTGTAGTAAATGCTTTTGCATTTTACATTATGGAAATATTTTCTTCTCATTGTCTGTATTAATATACAGTATATGGTGCACTCGTGAGTGGACAATTCTTGTTTGGCATTTTTATCAGCCTAGAAAAATACATGCCTTGACAAGCACATTGTTCTATAACTTCTCTGATGAATTTAATCGTGTGTGCAAGTGCTATAGTGATTTTTCTATTTATCTGATGACTTGATTCCAATTAAGGGTGTCATTGGATTTGTTGGCATAGGTTTTGAGAGGTTTTTGGATTGGAAACTAAAGTAGTTTACATTTATTCTTTTAAAGGCATACGCAATTTGAAATAGCAGCAGTAAAGAAATTGGAGACGCTCCCTAAGGTATATCCTGTATCTCGTCTCCCCTGGGCTTTTTGGTTCTTAAATTAGTGATTATATCTGGAGAATAATATAATTTCTTACTATCTTTCATAATGTTTGATGGGGATAATGCTTATTGGGATATTTTAACCAGTGGGGATTATTTGAGATTACCCGTTAGGATCTTGGTTATCAAGCATATACCGGGTTTGTTCGAGTACTGCTTTGTGCTTGACTTATCAAACCTGACTATAGTTGAGAGTACTGTGTAGTTTTGATCCTTTCCTGTCTCTCTCTGAACTGCCCCTGAAATCTCTCTTCGTTTCCCTTCCTTGCTGTGACCTCCTGCATCATGTATAAAACAGTAAGCCAATCTTTGTCATGTAGAAAGTAATATCACCCCAAAAACATTGCCATTTTGAACTCCTTACAAGGCATTGCCAGCTGCGTAAATGTTGTTGCTAACTTGCCATTTACACTATCTTTTTTATCAGATTTTTGGGCCGAAAAGTTTATGAAGTAGAATAAAACTGAGAAATATGATTAGATCTTTTAATCTCAAGTTTTTATTATTTTCTTGGAAATCTTTCTTTCTCAGGCTATATAACTTCATGAATATCAATTACCAAGATTTCCTCCCTTCCCCTTTGGTGATGAATCTCAAGCTGTTCATGAAACTTTGCACAGTGAAGGCGGATACCGGAACATCTTTGGAAGCTGAGGTGCGTCTTTTAGTCATTGTTTCAGTTTCTACATTTCATGGGGTTTATTTGCCAAAGTATTTTATTTTGCTTTAGTCATTTGTTTCTTTTTCTTTTTCTCTTGCCTAGTTTTCATGTTCACATATGCAGAACATATCAATTTAGCATTTCAATTCAGCAACTTGCTATTTACCCCCTGATTCATTGATTAGGAGTGAAATGGCATCACTTTGAGTTTTGTTTACCGCGTTGTAGGTTCATGCATCCTTTATATTGAGGGGAGCTTATTGTTTGAACAAGATTAGAATTTAAAAAAAAAAAAAAAAACTGCTATGTTTTGTAAAATAGTATGTTGTATCTAAAGTATTAAGTTTTACCTATAAAACTTCTTAATTAATCAAATAAATTTTATGACAGTTTTTTTTTTAGTGAAAGTAATTTTAAAATTTCATAAAAAGTAACTATTTTTAAAGTTATGACGATATATGTTTATGAAAAAACACCTAACTACACACATACAGCATATATGTTTATAACATCGATCATCTAAGCATATATGATGTTCATATGAACTCGATATTCTTACATATATAATGTTTTTTAACATCATCTAAAAACTTAATTTCTTAGAATAACTTGTTATTTTTTTTTTGTTATTTTTCCAAACAACAACAAAATTGTTTTTAAATTGTTAAATGATTTTAAATTTCAAATTTCTTGAAAATGATTCTATATTCTTTTAATATAAAGACAATTTATGTTAAACATTATTTAAAAAAATCAAACCAATATTGTTTTCCTTAAAATAAACCATTGTCCTTAAAAATCCTCTCTACCTCTAAAAAGTATAAGGAATCAAAATGCAAGGGAATGTCTAAAACTCAAGTTTAGGAATGAACAAAAAAGTAATAGAATTTTAGCCTAACCCAAAGTGCAACACTCAAGTCAATTTTTTTTCACAAGACTGGAATAGGTTTACACTTAAGTTCCAAGAGAAAAAATAAAATGAGAATTGTGTGATGCACGCCATTCAAAACTCAAAAATTGGATTGGGCCTAAATGTAATCTAACTTGGCATTTGTGGCATTTTTTTTATATTGAGAGTTTTAGCCACTTGCCCATTTGTTCTCTCTCCCTATCTCAAATAGTCACTCTTTAATTTCTAATAAGTGGTGTTAGACTTGATGTGAATTCACACTTCGTCCATTTGTTCTCTCTTCCTTGTTTTTGGGTCTTCACTCTTTATTTTTAACAAGTAATATCAATGCCAGGCTTTTTCTTTTGAAATAAAATTACTATTTAAAGTCTAAAAATTAGGTTGGCTTTATTGGAGTAGAGACTTAGTGTTTGATATTAAGAACCTTTGAACTCACACTTCACCCATTTGTCTGAGACTTTGTGACTTTAGAGCTCGTACTACACATACCTTTGAAAACTAAAATGGGACTTGCGTACATCACATCATTTGAAGCCTGAGAGTTAGCCTGGATTACATGATAGAAGGCACAACACTTGTGACTTCTTTAATATTTGGAGGTTGTGAACTCACACAAGTCACAAACTTTTTTTAGGAGTTCAAAGCCGATATAAAACACGTTCAAAGCCCATAATAAGATTTGTATACATCTTACTACTTAAAATTCAAAAATTGGGCTGGCTTTAATTATAGGAACAGAAACTTGGTATTTGTAGTATCTTAGATATTAAAAGCCTATGGATCCACATTTAAGGGAGAGATTATTAAGTTTAACAAGTATGAATGTTTTCTTACTCAACATAGGAACAAGAGGTATCAAAGCAAGGGCTAGAAATTGAATAGTATTAAGCATACTTTCAAAGTCTAAAATGGAAATTGAGTTAGCCCTAATTATAGGAGCTTTCGAATTAACACTTCACTTATTTGTTGCCTCTCTCTATTTTCAAGTAGTTGGCCCTCATTCTAAACAAGTATCAGAGAGCCATGTTTCATCTGAGGCTTGAAAGCTTATATTGCATGTACGTTTGAAGCCTAAAATGGTTGTGTTCATTACGCCATTTGACATATTTAGCTTAGCTATGATTGTAGGAACAAACACTTAGTGATTATGACATATTTGATTTTAAGAGCTTGTAGACTTATATTTGAGGGAAAGATTTTTGGGTGCTTTAAGTATGAGTACTCTGCCCTTAGCCCATTTATTCTTTCTCTATATTTTTGAGTGGTCGCTCTCCATTACTAAAAAGTGATATCATAACCAGGTCTCATTTAAGAATTGAAAATCAAGATTCCATACACATTTGAAGTCTAAAATGGGACTGGCTCTTATTATAGGAATAGATTCTTGGTGTTGGTATCATTTTTAACATTTGGATCTTGTGGACCCATACTTAAAAGATTGTCAGGTTGTTAAGTGTGAGTGTTCCATTATTCTCTCTCTATGGTTTTAAGTAGGCGTTTATAATTTTTAAAAAGTGGTATCAAAATTAGGTTTCTTCTAGACTTGAAAACCGTATTACTTACAAGTTTAAAGCCAAAAATAGGAATTGTGTGCATCTGAAACTTAAAAATTAGGATAGTCCTGATTACAAGAATAGAGACTTAGTGTTTATAACATCTTTGATGTTAGGAGCTTATAGGCTTATACTTCGCCCATTTGTTAACTCCCTTTAAAAAAGAAGAAGTCATTTCTTATTCAGGGATAGGTTTTATCTAGGACTTAAAAGCTCGTATTGTGCATAAGTTTAAAGCATAAAATGAGATTTGTATGCATCATATAATTTAAAGCCAAAAATTAGGCTAGCTTTAATTATAGGAACAAAAATTGGGCTTAAATCTCACACTTTGCCTATTTGTTCTCTCTACTTATTTTTCGGTTGTCTCTCCCCATTTTATATAAGCAATATCAAAGGCATGTTTCAATTGGGAATTGAAAGCCTATATTTTTTTTTTTGCACACACATTTTGAAGCCTAGTATAGGACTTGTGTCCTTTTAAAGTTGGGTAAATAGGCCCAACTTGACAAGTTGGTCTAGCCTGAACAATAAAATAGGCCAGTTGAGTGGGTTAGGCTATGCCTATACAGCTCAGCACATTAGGTCCCAAGCTATTTGCTATTGTCAAATCCCTAACGTTGTTCGCTTATCTCCTATACCTTGTCACCTTTTAGAATCTCACCATTTGATTTTCCATCATCATGCTTCTTTTGCATCACTTCTTTCTTTGTTGAGCTTGACTAGCTAAGATTTACAAGTTGAGTCATCTCCTTATCACATATTTTCACTTGCTGCTACCAACTTCCTCATCCTTTGCTCTTCTTTAATAGTGATGAAAGGAAGAGGGTAAGGCGAAGTTAGCAAAGAAAGGAAAGAACCAGTTGCCCTTTATCACATTCCTTCATACCACTTTGAGGAAATCTAATGAGGTTATATCACCTTCATCACATGGAAATCATATGGCCTACCAACATTTAGGTTTAGCATGCTTTTAATAGTATTGGGTTTACTGGGTCTCTCTTCCCACAAACAATATCATCTTTATTTTTTATATATTTTAATTATTTAAAATCTTAGAAAGTATTATTTATGGACATTGATGGCACATTGACAAAGTATAGTGAGTATGAATTTTTTATTAAATATATGAAATTTGAGTGCTTAGAAGAATGATTGTGAAAGTCTACAAAAAAATTAAACGGTGTTGCTTTTGCAGGCGGACCCGCTAGCTCGCATATATATGGGTTAAGCTGGATTTTTTAAGCTATTTCTTTTTCAAGCTAGCCCAAACTATCCTATAAAATGTCCAACCTATGTGGGCTACCTCGCACAGCCTGTATTTCCAGTGGATTTAAGCTAGTGTGGAAAGCCCTACATTGAATAAAGTTATGTTTAATAATTAATACATATAAAAAGAGACTCATAACTTAAGTCATAAGGTTTTGGCAATAACAGTCCTGTACGAGAAGAGTTTGGATTAGTCTAGATTGGAGGTTTTTCAAGATACCAGATGATGAAATACGAAAAAAATATATCTTAACGCCTATTTTAAGGACAAATGTAAAGTTTAAATTTGAAAGGGGGAGTCAAGAAAGACGAAGTACTAAGAAAACTATATCTCAATATAGAAGACATAAATCCAACAATGATTTAGCTTGTTATTATTGCAAGAAGTTAGGCCATCTTATTTCTAAATTTTGTAACCTTAAAAGGCCATTAAAGCTAGTGTAGTTAAGATGAACTCAAATTGGGGTGTGGTGTTGTGTTGTTTGATTTCTCTAATGATAGGAGGTAGGAGTAATAGAATTAATTGGATTCTTGATTTTGGTTCTTTTTAAAATCCTTTTAAAACTAGTGTAATTGAGATGCATTTGCATTGTGATGTTTTGTTGTCCATTGTCCTTATTGATAGGAGGAGTCAAAATGATTGAGTTCTTGATTCTATTTACACTTATCATAGATGCCATCATAAAAATTGGTCTACCACTGTTGAACTAATCATGTTGTCTTGGTAGATGATGATAATGAATATAAAATTTTAGGACTTAGTACACAGTGAATACTTACTGCTTCAATGTTTGATTCTTGATGATAATTTTACTTTAATGAAATTTGCTTTTTAGAGAGAGAAAGAGAGGAAGTAAACATGGAAGCTGGGGAAATAGGAATGGCAAAGCCAACAAAATGAGGTTCTACTTATTGCTTCAATGTTGTTTTTTAGAAGGCATGGATGCCCAATTTTTAAATTAAATCTATGGACTCATTCATGGTTGATAGAATCACATGAAGATTCATCATATTAATAGAGATTTAAGTGTACATGCTAACTATTTATCCAAACTATCTCATAGATTAAATATTACCTTTTGTATTTTTGATCATCTCCCATCTCTTCCCCAAGAAGAGGTGGATGATGAGAATGTTCAGGATAGACCTAACTCTTTTGGTGTAAGTTAATTGTTTTATGAATGCATTAATTTCAGTATAAAAAAAATCACATAAGAAATTAAACTCAAATTTTGCATTCTCTTTCTTAAGTGAATTTGGGCAAGGACACCAACCTTTTAAGTGAAAGCAAATGGTCTCAACCCTTTCCTTTCCTTCATCACATTTAGAGTTGAAAAAACTAGCCAAGCCCATAAGGTTGATTCATTTAAACCTAATAATTGCTAGAACTAAGCTAAAAATTTAGATCTTCAAAATATAAAATAAACTTAAATGGGCTAGCTCTCAGTTTTTTTTGAATATTAACTATCATGCTAATATAATTGATATTTTTGACATTATTGATAATATTTTAAACACTTAGTTGTTATCGTATTTTTTTTATAATTGAACTTTGCATAATAATTTGATTTGTTTAATTCTAGATAATGATTTTTTTATCTAAACTTTAAAAAATTGTTTGATTTAATTTAAACTAGAGAATGATTTGATTTATGTTATGTATGTGTTAATATTTTTAAATTATATTTTTGACAAAAGAGTATTTTTACTCTTATACAATTTGAGATTTTATGATTGGAATTAGAAATTTATAAATTTTAATACTTTATTACTTGAAATAGGAGGTCTTTTGCATAATCATGATGATAATGTTGTAGCTAATGTTTAAGTTTTATTGTCTTATTGAGATTTAGAGAAAAGTCATTTGAATTAATTAAATTTTAATAATGGTTAATATTTAAGTTTATTAATATTTATGAAATGAATTCAAAATTTTATAATATTTATTTTTCTATTTTATGTATTTATTTAAAAGAGAAAAGACATTAAAAAATATATAAAAAGGCTTAAAGCCCATTGGACCGGTCTTGGGCTAAGCTTTATAAATATAAATGAATCTTTTTTAGCACAAGCAAACTTTTTAAGCTAAGCTCATTTAAACTTGAGCCCTCATGGATCAGCCTTTTAGAGCCAAATTAACTCATTTTTTTCACCTCTAAATTCACATTCACATTCCCCTTGATCAAATCAATGTTGATTTGTACTTGAAAATAATTAACAATATTTACATGGCCATATTTCAAACTTTGAAAATCTTCAGCACTTGTATTGTATTTATGTTAATGATAGTCAATTCAATGCATGGTTTTAAAAACTAGGCTGAATCAGTCGATTTAATTAATTAAACCAAAAACCACCACTCAGCCTGATCCGAATCAACTTGAAAACCACCTAATAAATTAACTGATCAAATACTGGATAAATCAATCAACAACCAATGAAAGGAGAAAAAGCGAACCGGTTTCTGTTTCGAAAAAGACCAACAAAGAAAATAGAAAAGAAAAAAATCTTGGCTCACGTGTAGAAACGCTTGGCCAGCAAAGTCCAGGTTAAAATATTTCCACCTACCCTTTGCTGCCCTTTACAGAGTCCCCCACCTCTTTTCATTTTTCAAGGCAAACGATGTGAGACTCTGTTAGCGTACATTCATGATGCATCATCTTGCACACAGTTGTTTTTTTTCCCCTATTTTTCTCTCATCTTTGGTGAATTCTTTTGTCGATCTTCATGATTTTTTTTTATTGATAATGTGAACATTTATTTCACATTTATACTCCATAATATTATATCTATATACAATTTTTTATTTTTTTGTATCGATCTTTATTGATTTTTTGTTTTCATATATTGTTTTTAAAAATGTGGACAAATACTTTAAATTTGTATTTTAAATTATTTATCTCTATTTTTTAGATAAATTATATAAATTTATATTAAAATTGCCTTTCAAACATTTGTAAATAATCATCCCATGTATATATTTATATTTATTGTTGTATTATTTTCATATATAAAATTAAAAATATACTATTTTATTAATAAACGGTTCGAGTAATAAATCATGAATCACTGTCTCAATTGATTTAAAAATCAGTTTGATTTTTAAAACCTTGATTCAACGCGTAACTTCATCCCGATCAAGATCTATGGAAAGCATGCATGTCTGTTCTATACTTTGTACGTGGCAACCTTTCAATGGTATACCATCTGAATCACCATTAAGAATCACACAACTTACCAAAGCATCATAACTTCCTTTGTTATTCATTTCCGGTTCTCTTTTATATATAAACATGTCTTTATCTACTTCTTTTCCTTCGAAGAACTTCAAGTACAGATTGTGCTGTACAGTAAGCAATCGCCTGAACAGTGACCATCGGATTCACACCCAAAGCCGTCGGAAACACACTCGCATCCGCCACAAAAAGCCCCTCTACGTCCCACGTTTCTCCTTTCTCATTCACCACCGACTCTTTCGGACTCGTCCCCATCCTACAACTTCCCATCTGATGAGCTGAGCATAATGGCGTCGACAAGTCTCTCAATGCCCTTGAACTTTCCTTCTTCACGAACTTCTCAAATTCATGGTAGCTCACCTCCTTTACCTTCAACGTCCTTCCTTTACTATGATGGGTCCCGATTTCTTCAGCCCCAGCTGCTGCAAGAATCCTCAGCACTTTCTCTATTCCTTTCTGTAGATTCTTCTCGTCCGCTTCTTTCATTTGATAGCTGATCGAGGTTGGTGAGTGAACAACCCCAGATCCTTGATCTCTTGCTAGTGCAAATATATGAGCTGTTCTTGAAAACTTGCGCATTCGATCTTTGATATCAGTTCCAGAAACCCATGGCATTAGGATTGAGAACATGCCAGGATGTAGGGATGGTGTTTGTATCACAAAACCATACCCTGAGTTTTCAAAGTCTACATTAACAGTTGACATTGCTGTCATGATCCCTCCTTCGTAGCTCTTCTTATGTGCCTCAGGCCAAACCTCAGGTGAATTCGAATCTGGAAAATGTCCCCAAGCCATTGTCACTGGGTGAAGATGCAAGTGTTTCCCTATATTTTGATTCTTCAGGCCACTCTTTCTAAGCAATGATGGAGTACAGAGAGCTCCACAAGCTACAATAGTGACCTTAGATTCCACGACGCAGATTTCCTTAGTTCCTCTATATTCATATTCAAAAGCTACTCCATGTGATACCTTCCTGTCTATACCTTTCTTCTTCCTATGTAGAACTTTAATTGCTTCACAGCCTGGAAGAATCACTCCATTACCAGATTTCACTAAGTCCACAAGCCATGTTTCTGATGTGCCCTTCTTCTTCCCATCCTTACAGCCCATACAGCACCAACCACAGTAATGATCTGGTGGGGAATTTCGAGGAATATTACTCACTGGATAGCCCATTTCTTGACACCCTCTTCTTAGTATCGCATTGTTGAATCCTTCTTCTTTGATCTCAGATTGAACTCCCATTTTCTCAGAGACAACATTCATGGCTTCTTTGTACAGCTTGCTTTTGAATAGCTCTAGCTCATGGTGATCGCACCATTCCTTGCAGACATGCTTAGGAGTTTCAATGCAGGCTGACCAGTTTATTGCAGAGCCTCCTCCAACAGTGGAACCTGCGAGCACTAACACACCCATATCATCAGTGGCAATCAAGCCATTAGAGAGGTACATTTGATCCATCGTTGGTCCTTCTAGAAGAGAAAGATTGTTCCTTGCAGAATAGCTTCCTTTCTCCAAGACTAGCACTTTGTAACCAGCTTTTGCAAGAACTCCCGCGACCACACCACCACCGGATCCGGAGCCTACCACCACTGCGTCACATTGGATAACTAAGGAAGGAGATGATAAAGTGGATGGTTTAGATTTTCGACGACTAACAGAGACAGGGAATCCGGATCTTCGAAGAGCATCTGTAGTGATATCTCGAGGATAATCTAAGTGGACAAGACCCTTATAAAGAGGTCCAATGATGTCTTCATTATCGTCGTCTTCGTCGTCGTCATCATCATCTTTATGTTCTTTGCCTCCTTCTTTTGACGCTGCCATTAGAAAATGCTTCTTTAATTGCGCTTTGAACTCTGGGTCTGGTCCTTCGTATCCTATTGCTTTCCATGACGGGTTGCCTTCTGATTCATCTAACTGAAAATGAAAAGACCTGTTTCAGACGTACAAGGTTCCTAGCAAACAGAAAAACATAGTGACGAGATTCGATATAGCCAATCTTTTCACATGTTAAACTAATTAATTAATGTGGTTTGATTTAAATTTTAGCCAATCTTTTCCTTCCTTCTCAAATTTTATAATAAATCTGTATTCTATATGATAGATATATAGAATTAAACATGTGAAATCGAGGTTAATAAAAAAGTGGGTTTGTTGTGTGCCTGTGCGTGCTGTATTTGAGCCCTGTTCAGCATAGAAGCTATGTGCATGTGGATCCTCGTTGAAATAAGTTTGTCTTGTTATTGTTTTAGATCTCAGCTATTCTGTTTCTTTTGGAGGTTTTATTTAAGTTCGAGAGACAATATGCATGGGTCCGAATCCTAATTTGTTGAGATTCAGGATTTTTCCAGTTATATATGTTAGGTGCACGTGAAGATGCACGCATAATACTGAACCTGATCTTCTCTACTTCTGTGGTTTAATTAAATTCAATACTCCTCTCCTGTTAAGTATAAACCGTTTTCAAACTACTTCGCGCGCGCGCATATATATGATAGTTAAAGACATTAAAATTAAAATTGTTAAAAAACTGAAGTGGCTTCTGATATTATCCGTATTAATCATGCTAAACTCTATGATTATATTAATTTTTACTCTCTCTTACTAATTGACATTGAAGATTTCAATATAGAGTATTGTGTGGATAAAAATATTTAGACTAAGGAATACGAGCCAAGTTGATTATATAAATTAGATTGGATTCAACCCACACCTTTTAACTTTTTGACTAGTGAGTTAAATGGGCCAAACAACTAACGTACTTAATTTTTTTTTTTGCATGAATTTTTTAAAAAATTATACCTAAATGGTAAGTTCTAATATAATATTCTATATAGTTAAAAAAAATCACATCATAAATATGAAATTAATCAATTCTATCATGATTAATTCCAAATCCGCTTGTCTTGTGACTTGTGGTGCCAATTTTAATCTATTAGAGTTAGCCTATTTGATTCACGGACTATTTGTATTATAGAAAAAAAAATTATTTGAATTAATTTTTTTCCAATCTAACCTAGCCTTAGAATAGGTTATTCAAACCCACACATGTTGCAACTAAATATTTAACACTCAAACAAATTTACATAAGGCAACAGTGCTAAAGGGCACTTGAGACACCTAGAAGGTACAAGGAAACAAATTAAATAGACCAAAGACCAAGCTTTTAAATTTGTTTGACACAAATAATTGCATGGTAATTAATATTACGCTCATAATTAACCAGAGTCCCACCCACCTGGCCCAACTTGCGTGAGGAGTTGTTAGGTTGGGTGGAGAATCTGTCATGCTCGATTTGGTATCCTTACCCGCAGAGAGGAATCCAAGTGACTAACTTATCCTCGGATGTGACTCATAACGCTCTAAGAATAGTTAAGTGAATTAAATATGGATCAACACTCTCTAACCTTGACATAATTTCATTAAAATCCGCAGGTTGTATGAAAGTATTGGGCAGAGGTGTGAGTAAAATTAAGTTATATATATAGCCGCTATATAAGTTGACAAAAATCATAAATCTATCCAGTATATATTCTAAAATTGTTGAAAGCAATTTGTGTTTTAAACTTCTAATATATATTATAAAATTCTGCTAAGTAGAAAGACCAATTCCCTTTTCAATTCGTGATAAGGATTAAGAAATTAAAGAATTGAAAATGTACATGCAAATCAATTAAACTGGACATGATTTTCTCGCTTTATACATGATCCACTATATTTTTAACTAAAGCCAACAATATTTGTCACCTTAAAAAGAGAGAGAGAGAGAGAGAGAGAGAATTTGAATTAAGGACTAAGGATGTAACTTAATTATTAGTGAGTTTAAAAAAAATTTAAATTTCAATTCACTTTAAGAGAACTAAAATGAAAACAATTTTAATTATGAAAAGATCAAAGTACTCTTTACTTGTTATGTAAAATTATTAGTTGTTAATTTTTTTACTTTACTTATTAATTTATCAAGATAAGTGAACGTCAATTGTTAATTTTTTAACTTTATTTATTATTTACTAACATTAGTTATAAATTATAATGTCTATTGGTAATTTACAATTAATATTAGTAAAGAAGCAATTTAGTTACAATATTGCTATTTGTAATTGAAAAATTAATATTAAGTCTTGTATAATTATTTACATATAAATTCATATAATTTATAACTCATGTTATTAAATTAATAAGTGAAATAAAAAATTAACAACTAATAACTTTACATAATAAGTTAAGAATACTTTAATTTTTTCATTATAAATTAATGCTATCATCATTGAAATTATTTTTACTTTAATTTTTTAGACTAAACTAAAATTTAATATTTTTTAAAATTCACTAATGATTAAGCCATATATATATGATCTTTAATTAAAATTCTCCAAAAAATAAAAATATAGAAGCAGTGCAACCATACCTTGTTAATAAATATTTTAATTTTGAAAAGGTACGGTGGGCCCTGCGCGCTTTGACAATATTGGCTAGCTCATGTATTTCTCTCTCACAAGAATAAATCCTCTTATTTATAGTATTGTCGATTTCTTCTTAATTTCAGAAGAGAGAGTGAGTCTCATATTTTCACTTCTCACATCTTAGTTTTGGTGACCGTTAATGTTGTTAAAATGAAAGCTATAGGAAGCTATATTATGTGAATATAACTTCATTGTTCATGTATACCTTAGAAAATTAAAAAATATATATATATAATACTAGTTTTGGTAATGGATATACATAGATGCAGTACTATATATAAGATTTCATGCACACACTCTATTTTGGTCTAAAATATAAGTGGTTTTTGAAAAAAAAATTACATAGTAATAAAGCTATCATTTTTATAAAAATATATTATTTTTTATTCTCAATTTTAATTACCACTACATTCTATAATAAATGCAAGATATATTTACACAAAAATCTAAATTAATAAATATAAAGGTAAAATAAAGAAAAATTCCTTATATATATATATATATTAAATTGTATATATTGTGAATCAAAATTAATTAAAATAAACTGCTCATTTTTAAACAGAAGAGAATATGATATAATAGATTGTAGATTCACATGAACAATTACAACTTAATTATATACCTGAGTGAAGAAGACGAGGAGAGTGAGAAGCTTGAGGGTCTTGAACAGCATGCGGAGGTGGCGAAAGTAACTGCGAGACCAAGACGTCACGATGCGTTGGCGTTGCTCCAGCGGAAGATCTGGAAAGCTATGGAAGAAAGGGGAACGCCCACGTCATGCTCTCTACGCCGCACAGGATCACCGTCCCCAGCCACGTCGACAGCAGCCACAGCGACGCTCCCAGCATCCACGTGTTCGGGTGGCGCAGCCTTTCTGCTTATCACTCCCCCTAGCTGCCCCCCCCCCCCACATCACCAATCCACTTATAACTTTAAAGGAAAAAGTCACGCTAAACAATATCACACCATTTTCTCAACATGCATGCTACCCTAAGGATTTAAATTTATGAAATTGAGATCGATAAATTTTATAAACTCTGCCTTTTAAAGAAAAAAAAAATTTTATATTTCTCTATTCTATTTATAGAATAAAAACAAAGTAAAAATAGGACACTTATTAACTTTTAATACTCTTCTTTATATTTTTGCCCTGGTTAAATGTTTTAGATAAACATTGCTAGTAATAAAGTTAAAATATTTATTATGAGTAAATATAAAAATTATTAAATTTTAAGATAAAGTTAATTAGATTTAAAGTTTTTTTATTTAGTTAAATTAGTTTGAAGTGATTATAAATAAAACTACTGGAGTATTTTATAAAAAAAATAATAAAAAAAACTTCATATGAATTCACTAATATCATATTTAAGAATTTAAATCCTAACAAAATAATATGAAAACAAAGTTTTACTTGAATGATATAAAAAAAAAACTATAGTACTTTTTGTTAATGATTATTAAGGTTAGATGTTGAGTGTAAGTAAACTTGAATTGATGTGATTAAAATCTTCGCATAGAATAAAATTAAGATTAATAAACAATACTACGTTTACAGACGACCATAATACATCATTTGTTCTCTCTAAGTGGGGTAAAAGGAGTGGTGAAACCCTACATGGTCATGCGTTCCGGCCATGGAAGCGGAAGTGCGGTAGAAAGCAGCGGAGGAGTGGTTGCTGGCGGCGACGGAAGGCAAGAAGAAGGTATCACAGAGAGAGGAGAGGATCTCATCTGGCGATGGGAGAGAGAATTGGTGGGTAGGCTCTGCCGTTTGAAGTGCCTCTCATCAACACCACCGTCACCTGCAAGAAGAGTGGTGTGTCAATATTCCCAACCTCTATCACTGTCTCGCTCCCTTCTCTGAAAGCTTCCTCTCTTGTTCTCCATTTTTTTTCTCTCACTGCCTGCTTCTCATATCACACTGCAACATGCACCTTGTGGGGTTTTATATACACTTCACCAGAGTTAAGTTGTGATTCGTAGGAATAATATATCGACGTGGCCAAGAGAAGGTGGCGAGAAATAATTAGTTGGATGTTCAATATGGAGAGGGAGATCATAAAAAGGAAAGGAACGTACACGTGGGCAGTGAAGAATTGGTGAGCACAAACAAATTCCAAAGGGAAAATGATGACTGATCTAGTAATAGCCGTAGAGGAGAAAAGCCTTCTGGAAATAATTAAATGTAACGCATAACGCTACGCATTAACTCACTCCACCTGCCTCCTTTAATTGAGGTGTTGGCTCTCCAACAAAAAATATTCGTGTGTTTCTTACTATGATCAATTCTTGATAGTAGACAAACACTGCTCAAACATTTTTATTATCGTTTGTCCTTGTCCAGCTCTTCTTGTCCTTTATAATGCCCTGCCAAATACTTTCTCTATTCTAAATTAAAAAAAAATGAGATAAAATTATACATATCAATAAAATCATAATATACTAATATTTTATTAATTTTTTCAAAACAAAATTATAAAATTTTAAAAATGACCTACACAATTATTATTATAATACACTAAAGTATCATTTTAATTCTCTACCCACTTAAAGAGTATAATATTAAAAAGTACTATTAATGAAACCTTAAATTTTTAAATTAACTTATATTTTAGGACAAAAAATTCCTCCAACGTTGAGTTTTAATTTGGTTGGGATGGTGGGAGTACTTCTTCCATCTTAATTAGTCCCTCACTCCAATTTTTATTATAAGATACATTTTAAAAAATGTTCTAGTCCTTAATATAAGGTACATAAAAGGTTATTTATTATTATTTTTTAATCTTACCTCTATTGAAAATTTAATTTTATAACTCATCGTATACTGTATATTTTTCTCTTTCTGTTTTAATAGGCGCAAAGTTAGAAAGCTAATTAAGTAGTTAAAATACCTTATAAAAAAGGAATTAGAAAGAGTATAGGGCAAGGCTAATCAACTTTAGTTTTTTGAGAAATATTTACTTTCATCCCAATTATAAGACACTCTTGGAGGAGGGTTGACATTATAAAATATGAGACATTATATTTTCACAAAAAAAGTTTTGTTAATGGAATTTTTTTAATATTATCTTTCTCATTTATATTCTCTCTTTTAATATTCATTCAAAAATAAAGTATTAAATAAAGAGTATTTTTAAAATTTTATATTTTATCTTGAAAAAAATTTATGAGTTTTATTAATATATGTGATTTTGTGTCTAAAAATGTCTCATAAATTGGAATAAAAGGATTACTAGTTAATACACTTATTTTTTGTAAAAAATATTAATTTTTTAATTGTTTCTTTCATTAAAATTAATATTTTAAACTTAATGTAATTAAGAGGAGAAATATTAAGGAAAAAATAACTACTATTGGCCTATATTTAAGATAACATAAAAAAAACTTTAAAATGTCACCCTAAAAATAGGAGAGGAAGCAGCAATGATTTATATATTGTAGTTATATATATACCTCAATTCCTAAAAAAAAAAAACTAGCTAATTATAAGTTTGCCATAATTTATATGGTACTTATATATATACCCTCAATTTCTTTTATATAAAACACATTTAAAATTTTAAGTTACATGTAATATTTTTTTAAAGAAAATTAGTTTCCACTAGCAAGCAGCAATGATAGATGGACTTATGGGTCTAATTTTATGAGCCAACTTATAATAATATTTATTATTTATTTTGTCTCAAATTATAATACATTGCATCAAAATATTGCATACAAATAAAATTTATTAAATAGAATTTAATAATTTTATTTTTTAAAACAAATATATAAACTTAAAAAAGTCCTTCATTTAATACTCCATTTATTATAAAAAATACTAAAGAGAAAAAAATAATAGGAATGGTAATATTAGAAGATTATCATCAATGAAATTTTCTTTCTATCAAAGTGTATTATATTTGGTCTATTTTATGAGCCACTTAATAAAATATTTATTATTTATTTTGTCTCAAATTATAATACATTTGCATACAAAATATTGCATACAAATAAAATTTATTAAATAGAATTTATAATTTTATTTTTTTAAAACAAATATATAAACTTAAAAAAGTCCTTCATTTAATACTCCATTTATAAAAAAACTAAAGAGAAAAAAAATAATAGGAATGGTAATATTAGAAGATTATCATCAATAAAATTTTCTTTCTATCAAAGTGTATTATATTTTGCGATACTAAATTTTCCTAAAAATATCTTTTAATTTAGGAAGAGAGAGTGTATTTTTTCTACTTGATAGTAATGTGCTTAGAAGTGTCTCATGAAAAAAAAAGAAGAAGCAAAGGGGACACAGTAGTACATCATTTTTTCTTTCATTCAATATTATAAGACACTTTTTTATAAAATACCATGTTCAAAAAATATAAGGTAGTTTGAGTTTTTTTAAGGTACATACTCCTTTCTATGTAAAAATAAGCAATCTTTTTTAAAAAAATTAGAATATCAATAAAGTTCCACTTTCCAAAAATATATATATATATATATATAATATTTTTTACCCCTTATTCCAATTATTAATGTATTACATATAATGAGTAGGAGATACCCCTTTTTTTTTTCATGAGAGAAACTATCACTTTTATTTGTCTTTTATAAAAAATTATATTTTTCAATAAATATTTATTATAAATTTTTAAATTACCTCTCATAATTTTATCATTCACAATCTTAAAAATAATTAATGAATACTTGATTGACACAAATAATGAAAGGTATTTTATTTCAAATCTTTTTTTAAAACACAATTAATATAATTAATAATTTTTTTAAATATGTGATATAATTTTTTTTTCTATAAATAAAAATGGAGGAATCAATTTATATAAAAAATTGAGTTAGTAAATATAAGGCATAAAATGAAAAAAATTACATACATCAAGTTGTTTATATTTTAAATAATTTAATTAAGAAGAAATACATATATTTTAACATACTCCCTTCCTTTCTATATATAAAAGAAAAAATTATATTATAGTTTAAAAAAATTAATTAACCATAACAATCATGTTCAAAATAAAAAATTAAACTAAAATATTTTATATTAATAATATATTTATATATTAATTATTTTTTTGTTAATGTAAATTATGAAAGATAATTTAAAAAATATAATAAATATTTATCAACATATATTATTTACTTGTATAAAAAATAAATAAAAAATAATACTTTCTCTGACACTAAAAAATGAAGAGAGTAGGAGTACAAGTTTTATTGGAAAACGGGAAATCCACAGATAGGTGAATAACTGTAAAGGTCGCTGCAAAAACGTAGTAATGTAAAGTACTACAGATGCCTGAGGAAGAGTGCCATAAAGTTGACGGGCAAGCCCTTCATCCAAAGTCATTGTTGATGGGGAAGTGGGAATTCTAGGAGAGGATCCTCCTTTTTTTTTCCCCTCTTTTTTCAATCCTCACCATTATTTTATTTTATAAATAATTTATTTCAATAAAAAAAAGAAGAAAAGGAGAGAAAACAAAGGTGGAACTCTTGTCCTAAAATCACTATAACAATAAAAAATATTGACACGCTGATTTTTTAGCAAAGTTAGGAAGGATTGTTAATTTAAAAATTATATTGATAATTACAGTTTCTTCAAGATGTTTGAGATAATATTTAGAAGATAAACAATATGTCGGCTACTGTATTTCTTATTTTCTTTTATTGATTTTTAGGTTAATTCTTAATTTTTTAGTCCTTTAAGTTCTTGCCTTTGTAATTCAAAAAAAAAAGTCATTATTGCAAGAGAAATTCATGGTTGGTCGGGTCGGGTTTCTCCCCCATATTCTTTCCATTACTTTTTCACAGTAATTTAAATAATTTAAATTAAATTTATTTTTTAAAATTATAAATTTAAATCACAAATCTAATTTAATAATTCAGATGTACAGTAATAATTTTTTTTTTACTGCTCTCCTTTGCGAAGGAGGGGCCAAGCCCAGGCAGCATAGGGCCGCTTCGTAAGGGCATTACAAGGCCACTTTCTTGGTTTTTACGATGGAGCGTTTCAAATTTCAAACATATATAGGTATATGTGTCAGGATGCAGATGCAGCTATCTACGTACGTACACATCGATAAAATAACAGCAGCACAGTAAGGTAATTTTTAAGAAATTAAATATTTAAAAATATAAAATATTTTTAATTTTTTAAAATGTAATTAAAGTGTCTCTATTGATAATAACTTTATATTTATTATAGGATATTTAATAAGAATAAATATAAAAAAATAGGATTAGTTAAAAATAGATAACTATTTTATTAGTGGGTGAAATTCAATTAAAAATATTTTATATTTTTAAATAAAGAAAATAATTACTATAAAGTTCGTTCATGCAAATGCAATCCAATTAGATATATCTATCACTATTGTTTTTGTTTGAATTTTTTTTTAACTATACATCACGACTATCCAGGGCTTCCTTTTAATTTATAACAACATCACATTTTCATCGGCTGGAAATTTAATTTGCATAAAAATTTAATCAAGTCAATTTCGCATTCAATTAAAAATCATGTCTTTTGCGTACTCCGTCCTGGTGGGTCTCAAACCCTGATT